GCGCTTATGCTGTTTCTTCTTGAAAAATGTGTTCATGATCGTCAGGCCATGGGATGCACAGAACATCAAAAGGTTCTCACCAGCTTTATTGCGTCGACCCATTCCAAAACGTCCAAGAACGCCACTCCAGCCTTGACCGTTTCCAGGAATGTCCTCAACACGCGCGATTTCGTCAGTGACTCCACCATCCAACGACCCAACACGAGCGTTGAAATCTCCGAGGAGTAATAAAACGTCACCAGGTTCGACTGCCGAGATCACCGCTTCCAGGTCGCTGTAGAATTGATATTTTGTAGCTGGAGTTGCTTTGTTTGTTGGGGCATACGCGTTGACTACAGTCAAAAAGAAATCGGAGCGCCGCCGCAATCCAAATCCCTGCCGAACTCTGTCATCCTTCGCTCCGATGAGAATCCGAGCAGATACAATACGAGAACTGACGGCTCTCCACTGTTCGCCGCCCCGCCGCCACAGGTCCGTCAATTTCGCGTTCATGATAATGCCTACGCCTTCGTTCCGTCTCCGCGGCTCGTTTTCCCCAGGCAGCGGCCGACCAGAATGGAGAAAGACACCACCGCCAACAGGCCATATATCGTTCCCGAACCACTGCGTCTCTTGAATGCCGGCTATGTCGATTTTGAATTTGTTTACCTCGTTGGACAATATATCAAGCTTCCTGTCAACAGCATTTCCGCCCGCCGCCGCGCGTCTTCTACAAGTCCTTGCGTCGTCACCCTCCTCCACCAGGAGCGGACATTCCAAGTCGCAGCCGCCAGGACACTCTTTCCTGTCCTCTTCCCTTTCCTCTTCCCACTCGTCACCATTCCGAATTCAAATTTCAAAAAAAACGAAACTCAAAAATTGCTCAGCTCGTCTTGTGCAGTGCGCTCAACAACTTCCAACAGACAACTTGCAAGGTCGTCCGCTGGGCCACCACAGCCATGGCCTGGTCTTCACCACACGGTCCATGGCTGCTTAGGGTAGTGGTAGTAGTGGTAGTAGTGGTAGTAGTGGTAGTAGTGGTAGTAGTGGTAGTAGTGGTAGTAGTGGTAGTAGTGGTAGTAGTGGTAGTAGTGGTAGTAGTGGTAGTAGTGGTAGTAGTGGTAGTAGTGGTAGTAGTGGTAGTAGTGGTAGTAGTGGTAGTAGTGGTAGTAGTGGTAGTAGTGGTAGTAGTGGTAGTAGTGGTAGTAGTGGTAGTAGTGGTAGTAGTGGTAGTAGTGGTAGTAGTGGTAGTAGTGGTAGTAGTGGTAGTAGTGGTAGTAGTGGTAGTAGTGGTAGTAGTGGTAGTAGTGGTAGTAGTGGTAGTAGTGGTAGTAGTGGTAGTAGTGGTAGTAGTGGTAGTAGTGGTAGTAGTGGTAGTAGTGGTAGTAGTGGTAGTAGTGGTAGTAGTGGTAGTAGTGGTAGTAGTGGTAGTAGTGGTAGTAGTGGTAGTAGTGGTAGTAGTGGTAGTAGTGGTAGTAGTGGTAGTAGTGGTAGTAGTGGTAGTAGTGGTAGTAGTGGTAGTAGTGGTAGTAGTGGTAGTAGTGGTAGTAGTGGTAGTAGTGGTAGTAGTGGTAGTAGTGGTAGTAGTGGTAGTAGTGGTAGTAGTGGTAGTAGTGGTAGTAGTGGTAGTAGTGGTAGTAGTGGTAGTAGTGGTAGTAGTGGTAGTAGTGGTAGTAGTGGTAGTAGTGGTAGTAGTGGTAGTAGTGGTAGTAGTGGTAGTAGTGGTAGTAGTGGTAGTAGTGGTAGTAGTGGTAGTAGTGGTAGTAGTGGTAGTAGTGGTAGTAGTGGTAGTAGTGGTAGTAGTGGTAGTAGTGGTAGTAGTGGTAGTAGTGGTAGTAGTGGTAGTAGTGGTAGTAGTGGTAGTAGTGGTAGTAGTGGTAGTAGTGGTAGTAGTGGTAGTAGTGGTAGTAGTGGTAGTAGTGGTAGTAGTGGTAGTAGTGGTAGTAGTGGTAGTAGTAGTGGTAGTAGTGGTAGTAGTGGTAGTAGTGGTAGTAGTGGTAGTAGTGGTAGTAGTGGTAGTAGTGGTAGTAGTGGTAGTAGTGGTAGTAGTGGTAGTAGTGGTAGTAGTGGTAGTAGTGGTAGTAGTGGTAGTAGTGGTAGTAGTGGTAGTAGTGGTAGTAGTGGTAGTAGTGGTAGTAGTGGTAGTAGTGGTAGTAGTGGTAGTAGTGGTAGTAGTGGTAGTAGTGGTAGTAGTGGTAGTAGTGGTAGTAGTGGTAGTAGTGGTAGTAGTGGTAGTAGTGGTAGTAGTGGTAGTAGTGGTAGTAGTGGTAGTAGTGGTAGTAGTGGTAGTAGTGGTAGTAGTGGTAGTAGTGGTAGTAGTGGTAGTAGTGGTAGTAGTGGTAGTAGTGGTAGTAGTGGTAGTAGTGGTAGTAGTGGTAGTAGTGGTAGTAGTGGTAGTAGTGGTAGTAGTGGTAGTAGTGGTAGTAGTGGTAGTAGTGGTAGTAGTGGTAGTAGTGGTAGTGGTAGTAGTGGTAGTAGTGGTAGTAGTGGTAGTAGTGGTAGTAGTGGTAGTAGTGGTAGTAGTGGTAGTAGTGGTAGTAGTGGTAGTAGGTAGTAGTGGTAGTAGTGGTAGTAGTGGTAGTAGTGGTAGTAGTGGTAGTAGTGGTAGTAGTGGTAGTAGTGGTAGTAGTGGTAGTAGTGGTAGTAGTGGTAGTAGTGGTAGTAGTGGTAGTAGTGGTAGTAGTGGTAGTAGTGGTAGTAGTGGTAGTAGTGGTAGTAGTGGTAGTAGTGGTAGTAGTGGTAGTAGTGGTAGTAGTGGTAGTAGTGGTAGTAGTGGTAGTAGTGGTAGTAGTGGTAGTAGTGGTAGTAGTGGTAGTAGTGGTAGTAGTGGTAGTAGTGGTAGTAGTGGTAGTAGTGGTAGTAGTGGTAGTAGTGGTAGTAGTGGTAGTAGTGGTAGTAGTGGTAGTAGTGGTAGTAGTAGTAGTAGTAGTAGTAGTAGTAGTAGTAGTAGTAGTAGTAGTAGTAGTAGTAGTAGTAGTAGTAGTAGTAGTAGTAGTAGTAGTAGTAGTAGTAGTAGTAGTAGTAGTAGTAGTAGTAGTAGTAGTAGTAGTAGTAGTAGTAGTAGTAGTAGTAGTAGTAGTAGTAGTAGTAGTAGTAGTAGTAGTAGTAGTAGTAGTAGTAGTAGTAGTAGTAGTAGTAGTAGTAGTAGTAGTAGTAGTAGTAGTAGTAGTAGTAGTAGTAGTAGTAGTAGTAGTAGTAGTAGTAGTAGTAGTAGTAGTAGTAGTAGTAGTAGTAGTAGTAGTAGTAGTAGTAGTAGTAGTAGTAGTAGTAGTAGTAGTAGTAGTAGTAGTAGTAGTAGTAGTAGTAGTAGTAGTAGTAGTAGTAGTAGTAGTAGTAGTAGTAGTAGTAGTAGTAGTAGTAGTAGTAGTAGTAGTAGTAGTAGTAGTAGTAGTAGTAGTAGTAGTAGTAGTAGTAGTAGTAGTAGTAGTAGTAGTAGTAGTAGTAGTAGTAGTAGTAGTAGTAGTAGTAGTAGTAGTAGTAGTAGTAGTAGTAGTAGTAGTAGTAGTAGTAGTAGTAGTAGTAGTAGTAGTAGTAGTAGTAGTAGTAGTAGTAGTAGTAGTAGTAGTAGTAGTAGTAGTAGTAGTAGTAGTAGTAGTAGTAGTAGTAGTAGTAGTAGTAGTAGTAGTAGTAGTAGTAGTAGTAGTAGTAGTAGTAGTAGTAGTAGTAGTAGTAGTAGTAGTAGTAGTAGTAGTAGTAGTAGTAGTAGTAGTAGTAGTAGTAGTAGTAGTAGTAGTAGTAGTAGTAGTAGTAGTAGTAGTAGTAGTAGTAGTAGTAGTAGTAGTAGTAGTAGTAGTAGTAGTAGTAGTAGTAGTAGTAGTAGTAGTAGTAGTAGTAGTAGTAGTAGTAGTAGTAGTAGTAGTAGTAGTAGTAGTAGTAGTAGTAGTAGTAGTAGTAGTAGTAGTAGTAGTAGTAGTAGTAGTAGTAGTAGTAGTAGTAGTAGTAGTAGTAGTAGTAGTAGTAGTAGTAGTAGTAGTAGTAGTAGTAGTAGTAGTAGTAGTAGTAGTAGTAGTAGTAGTAGTAGTAGTAGTAGTAGTAGTAGTAGTAGTAGTAGTAGTAGTAGTAGTAGTAGTAGTAGTAGTAGTAGTAGTAGTAGTAGTAGTAGTAGTAGTAGTAGTAGTAGTAGTAGTAGTAGTAGTAGTAGT